TTCATGTCTGGACTCACTAATATGTTCATTCAGGCCCTTGTTTTACAACAAAAAGGGAATTTAATGGAGTTAGTTGATCCAAGGCTGGGAACTGAGTTCAACAAGGAAGAGGCAATCAGAATGACCAACGTAGCTCTTTTGTGCACCAATCCTTCACCAGCACTGAGGCCTATCATGTCTGCTGTAGTTAGCATGCTTGAAGGTAAAACCCATGTTCCGGAGCTGATCCTGGATCCAACCATTTTCGGTGATGGATCAAGGCTCAGTGCCTTGAGAAACCAGTGCAATCAAATACTGCTCCAAAGCAAAAGTGGGAGTTGCTCCTTAATTCAATCATCAGATGCACATGCAACGTGCAGCACCTCTTCAGGGTCTGCCTGAAAACCAGTTTAACTGGTACTATCTTCCCCAGCATATTTTCCTTTGTGCATAAATGAAGATGAGTTCTTATCACCTAGTTGTATGTTTACTGGATCATTGATTTCAGCAGGTTGGCCTTTTAGCCATAGATCATGCAGAAAACCTATCTGAAGTCCTAGATCTTGATCTTGTATTCACTACTGCATTGTTTGAATTGAATCACCACTTTTATCTAGGCCAGCTTCTTGTGAATTCTTCGAACTGCTAGCACTTGATTGTACAGGCACTCCGCCCTTCTTCCCGGGTTATGGTTGAGGAAACTTTTGAAGAACCGGATGGTCGAGAAAGTTAGCTGCAAATTAGGGATGGGACTTTTTCACCAAAACGGGCGTTGTATCAGGAACCGCCTGTAACCGCAACAAACGGTGCAGTGTGAAACGGGTTTTGGTGGGGGTAGGCCACCGTTTTGGTTGCTAACCGAAGCCCAGTCGAGTGGTGGACGGTTTCAGGTCCAAGAAACTGTTAACCACATGAATAAGCCCAGTTCACCTGAAAAAAATCAATTATTTTATTTTATTTCACCATTCTTTTTGTCATTTTGTACCAAAAACCGTGTCAGTTGGGAATTTGGAATCTCTTGATTTTTTGCTTTTTGATTTTTTAAAATCTAATTCAAAATATAATGAGCCCCACGCATTAAACTTAAACTTACTATGTTATATAATTATTATTTTTGTTTGTTTTATTTTAATCATTATATTAGATTTTTTTGATTGAACCTAAACTTTTGGATCTATTTAATAATTTAGGGATTTTTTTTTTATTTCCCCTCCCTTTTTTCTCGTCCCATCTCATTTCACCATCGTTATTGCTTCTGTTTTCTTCTTGCTGACACTACAACCAATCTCCTTTCTCTTCCTTCTTCTTTTTTTTTTTTTTCTTGTGATCTACTACTCCCAAGTCCTATTTCAAGGGAAATGACATTAGTACTGGTATTGGGTATTGAGATTGGATCTAATTCTTACTTCTCTTTTAATTTTTCAATTTTCTTTTATTTTTATCACTGTTCTGTTGCAACTCCAACCTTTTCCTTCTCTTGGTATACCATTAAAACTCTCCAGGAACAAAATTGAAGTATCTGTTGACGATTGAAAGGCAAAAAATAGATACTGAAAAATGAGGGAAACTCAATATTTGGGTTAATACCGAAATCGTTTTTAATTTAATTTAATTTAATTTTTTAATTTTTTAAACATAAATCTTAGATGAAAATTTTGATATATTATATAAATGATAATTAAATTTTTTATTAAATAAGCTACTCGACAAAATCTTCATATGATAAAAATAAAATTTTTAATTATTATTCATATAAGTTAAATTTTCATATAA